AGACAAGAAATGACAATTGTTGATAAGGGCGTGGAGAAAGGGGAACTTTCTTGCACGGTTGGTGGGAATGCAAACTGGTGCAGCCACTCTGGAAAACAGTATGGAGGTTCTTCAAAAAGTTAAAAATAGAACTACTCTAGGATCCAGCAATTGCATGACTAGGTATTTACCCAAAGAATACAAAAATACTAACTCAAAGGGATACATGCACTCTGATGTTTATAGAAGCATTATTTACAATAGCCAAAGTATGGAAACAGCCCAAGTGTCCATCAACTGATGAATGGATAAAGAAGAGGTGAGATATATATAATGGAATATTATTCAGCCATAAAAAAGAATGATATCTTGCCCTTTGCAATGACATTGGTGCAGCTAGAGAGTATTATGCTAAGGGAAATAAGTCAGTCAGAGAAAGACAAATACCATATGATTTCACTCATATGTGGTGGAATTTAAGAAACAAAACAAAAGAGCATGGGGAAAAAGAGAGACAAACCAAGAAACAGACTCTTAATTATAGAGAATAAACTGATGGTTACCAGAGGGGAGGTGGGTGGAGGATGGGTTAAGTAGGTGATAGGGATTAAGGAGTCCATTTGTTATGATGAGCACCAGTGTTGTATGGAAGTGTTGAATCATTATATTGTACACCTGAAACTAATATTACACTGTATGTTAACTAACTGTAATTTAAATAAAAATTTTAATTTTTTTTAAAAAACAGTGACACTACTATATGCCATCTCACCTCTTAGGAAAGAAGGAATATAATAAGGAAAAACAAACAGAAAATAATGAAAGGTGGAAAAGAGGGAAGGAATAAAGAGAAAGAAACTGACAACCTTCTAACAGAAAGTCTTAATCACCAAAATTTTAAAAGACCCTCTCCACTGTGGAGTGTTTATTAATGTGGAGACACTACCTTTCTATTTCTTTTGTGTGTGTATTATTTTAGGTACTCTAAGAATTAAATTCAAGGCTTTGTATTGCTTAATCACATATTTAAGTTATCCATGTAAATTTATCAAAACCCCTCAATGAAAGTGTTGTTCCAAAACCACGGATTACACTTTTACTGGGATAATCACTATGAAATAACATAACTTATTTTGTTCAGTTACTTTGTCTACTTCTAATTAGTATGAAACTAATAAATTTGGAATATATTCAACTCTCATTCTATAACCCTTTATTGAGTAGAAACTTTGTCAAATCCATGTGTTCTGAACTATTTTGGGGCAATACAAACCACAAATACTGTCTTACTTCATATAAACATAGTTGTTCCAAGACAAAATTTGAACAATGTCAAACCAGTCTAAATACTGTGAACTTTTCAAGTTTGATGATTCAAAAAATTGATAATTTCTTCAATTTTTCTGCATTATCTTAAATAATTTGGAGATATATGTCTAATACTGAAAGGTTAAGTGATTTGCCTAAGGAGAAAAGCTTCTCAGAATATGGGTTCTAATCTCAGATCTTTTGACCTTTGTGGCCTTAGGTAAGTGATTCTCAAACTTAAGCATATATCAGAGTCCTCTGGAGGTTTGTTGCTGTCCCCTACTCCCTTAGTTTCTGATTCTGTAGTGCTATTTCCAAGTTCTCACATGATGCTGATACTGCTTGTAAGTGTATGTCTTTTCTTTTTTTTAAAGATTTTATTTATTTATTCATGAGAGATAGAGAGAGAGAGGCAGAGGCAGAGGGAGAAGCAGGCTCCCCGCGGAGCAGGGAGCCCGATGCGGGACTCGATTCCAGGACCCTGGGATCATGACCTGAGCTGAAGGCAGACGCTTAACCGACTGAGCCACCCAGGCGTCCCGTGTAAGTGTATGTCTTCAATCATTTTTGGCTTATAACAAATCTAAGAGGTAAGTATTGTTATTATAATACCTATTTTACAGATGAAGAAACTGAAGTACAGAGAAAGTAAACAAGTTGCCTGACATTACACATCAAGTATGTAACAAAAGCTGAAACATAAGCCCAGGATATGAACTCTGGATCTAGAATCAGGGTACTTAAGACTAAGTCTCTATATGCTTTTGATTTTACAATGTGATACTTTGATAGAAATATTCATATGGCATGATGAATGTACAGAGATGAACACTTGACCAAATTAAATATCTAAGAGAGGATTTGTAGAAAAGTTGAGTCACAGTTTATAGGTAAAATAGTACTCAAAAATGTTTAATCCATTTCAAGCATTTAGTAGCTGTTGTGACCTTAAGTTAATAACTTACTCCCTTTGGGTCTCCATTTGAAACTTTCTAGGGTTACTGTACAAATTAGACAATATAAGAAAAGTACTTAGCACAGTGTCCTTGGCACTTAGTGTACACTCAATAAATAATTGACTACTCAGAGTGAGGGGGAAGATTTTAAGGTAGTGACCTTATGCAAATGGCTGGTTGTGTGAAATAGTTTTTTGGGTAATGAGAAAAGGTGTTTATTAGAATAAAACAATGAAGAAGGCCTAACTGAAGATGGAAATCATGCATTTATAATGACTCCATGAATGCCTGTGCTTTTCTCTAACTGTGCTCAACTGCATGGATGTAGCAGTAAAGAAGGCATTCAGTGTAGTTTTGATTTGCATTTCCCTGATGATCAGTGATGTTGAGCATCTTTTCATATGTATTTTGTTAGTTAACATGTAGTGCAACATTGGTTTCTGGAGTAAAATTTAGTGATTCATCACTTACATACAATACCCAGTGCTCATCACAACAAATGCCCTTTTTAATACCCATCACCCATCCAGCCCATCCCCTTCCCATTTCCGTCCATCAACGCTCAGTTTGTTCCCTACTGTTAAGAGTCACTTATGGCTTGTTTCTCTCTCTCCTTTTTTTTTCTTTTCCCCCTTCCTATATGTTCATCTGTTTTCTTTATTAAATTCCAATTATGAGTGAGATAATATGGTATTTGTCTTTCTCTAACTTATTTCACTTAGCATAATACACTCTAGTTCCATCCATGTCATTGCAAATGACAAGCTTTCAATCTTTTTGATGGCTGAATAATATCCCATTGTATATATATACCATGTTTTCTCTATCCATTCATCAGTCGATGGGCATTTGGGATCTCTCCATAGTTTGGCTATTGTTGATAATGGTGCTATAAATATTGGGGCACATATATCCTTTGCATTCTGCCTATTTTTAATTGGATTGTTTGTTTTTTGTGTGTTGAGTTTTTTTTTTTTTAAGATTTTATTTATTTATTTGAGAGAGAGAGTGAGAGAGAGAAAGAGCACAAGAGGGGGGAGCGGGAGAGGGAGAAGCAGACTCCCTGCTGAGCAGGGAGCCCGATGCGGCACTCGATCCCGGGACTCCAGGATCATGACCTGAGCCGAAAGCAGTCGCTTAACCAACTGAGCCACCCAGGCACCCTGTGTGTTGAGTTTTATAAAATAACTATAGAGCAAACATGGTTACCAGAAGGGAGGTGGGGGGGGGGATGTGTTAAATAGGTGATGGGGATTAAGGAGGGCACTAATGATGAGCACTAGGTGATGTATGGAAGTGTTAAATCACTATATTGTATACCTGAAACTGATATTACACTGTGTGTTAACTAATTTGAATTTAAATAAAAACTTTAAAAAAATTTTTAAAAGAAGCATTCATATATTCAACAAATATTTATTGAACACCACATTAAACTAGTCACCATGCTAAACACCAAGGAAACCAGGGTAAATAAAACAGCCCTCACAAAGCCCTCTGAATTCTAGGGGTAGTGAGTGTTATGTATTGGACAGAGTAGATAGTGGTAAAAAGAAACAATAAATAAAGCAGAGAGCTAGACTACTCAATAATTGGGATTATGGTAAGTGGGAGGAATAATAAGATAAGAAGGTAAGGCACTTGAGGATGTTAGTAAGAGAATGGTGCAGTCATGAATATGAAAGCAAGAAAAGTTAGGATGGAGTTAAAAATGGGGAGAAAGGATTGTAATAAATGGAGAGGGAAAAAGATGGATAAGAGATTAAAGATCTTTAAGAGGTAGAAGAATCCAGTTAGTGAAGTGTGAATTAGAAAAAAAAATTTACCAACTTTCCTTTATCCTACATATTTTCCTGAATTTGTGGAGCTTTCCTAGAATTTGTCTGATAGTTGGCCATATATATGATGTGACTATGTAGTGAAAGGCAAATTTTGTAGCTTATGTAGCTTATGGAATTCATTTCAGGACATAATATGCTCTCATCTATGCATGAGTAGTTGATAAATTGTTTATGTGTATATATTTAAATACATATAATTATTTAGTATATAATTATAAAACATACATATTTGTATTTGTATTAATTTACAAATACTTATATAATTTACATTTAATATATTATATTATATGCAATATATATTTAAATAATACATAATATTTTTCATAATATATAACACTAAATGTATATTAAACTCTGGCCTTTGTACATTGAGCATAAATCAATGGAAGATGAATAGTAGTGTATTGACAGTGGATGGTATCTTATATCATCAGTATAATATCTTATAACAAGTCATAGTATGCCATGAGTTTTTTGAGCTCCCTGTCCAAGAGGTTGCATTTGCCATCAAAGTATGTTACAAAAGAAGGTTCACAGAATTATTTACTGATCCTAAAAGGACTGGTGTGATCTCTTTTGATGATTTTCATGAAGTACATTAACTCTTAAAATGAGACATTTGCTCAAATATGCTCATATAGTTACCCTATTTACCCAATAAAATACTAGAATTTTGGGGCACCTGGCTGGCTCAGTCAGTGAGGCATGTGACTCTTGATCTTGGGGGTTGTGAGTTTGAGCCCCTTGTTGGGTGTAGAGATTACTTAAAAATAAAACCCTAAAAAAAGAAGTACTAGAGTTTTTTTGTGAACCTAAAACTGTTCTAAAAAATAAAGTACATTAAAAAATACCAAAGTATCATAAAATGTTTGATAGCTACAACATCGAGGCAAATGATATTATATATTTACAGTACCTTCCTCCAATTCTCTGCAAATGTTCTAATAAGCAATGATATAGATCTGTATTTTTACGGCTTAAATCCGCAAGTAACTCTCCAAAATATTTGGGGTCCAACTTTTCAGGGCCATCATCTTGAATTATCACCTGAAGAAAGCATCAAGTACGATTATAAACAACATTAAGTATTTCTAAGTTGATAGATGTTTTGATATTAAATGAGAAAAAGTTACATAACCTATTAATACAAGTAACTTATTATAAAGTCATCACATGAGTCAACCCACTAAATTTTCTTTACAACTGAGGTACACATTTTTCAATATGAAAGGAATTTAAAGGAAAAGCAACATTACAATAACATTTTCAATTTTATTTCACTAATCTAAATGATCTAATGAATGCAAAACTTGAATAATTTATATAAAAATTCTTGAGATATATATATATATATATATATATATATATATAAAACAAGTAAATCAAAATCTCTAAATTGCCCATTATCACCACATGGCTTACTCTTCTGTTCCCTGTTGGAAAAGAACATGTTAATTATTTGAATTATACTGACATTAAAGAATTAATTTTATTTGGACTTGCATCTTCTCAGTGAAAGGCAGTGTAATTTATTAACATATATTAAAGTTAGATTAAATTAATCTTCTCAATTCAATATGTTTTTAGGTATTTCTTCTTATATTCCCTCCAGTTATTATTTGGACTGAATATCTAGTCAATCTGACATGGGAAAGAGTAGCTAAGGGTCAAATGTAGAAAATTCATAGACTTCAAAAACATTTGAAATCCTAAACACAATTACTATGAACAGTGTCCTAAATAACACCTATTCTATTGGCTTCATATAACTTGGTACCAAACTTTTCAAAAATGTTGACCACCTTGTCTTCCATCTCCAAACACTAACTGGAGGCTAATAACTTAGATTGCATTCCATACTACCTTTGATATTGCATGTGGGACCAAAGGTGTCCTATAAATGCATTTATTCCTAAGTATATATATGATAAATAGACTTCATATTTGACCACTAATACTTCCTTTTCAACTTGTCCTCTGAATGCAGACCCTAAAAATCATGTATGCTGAGGCAAATGGAAGATTTGCAAATATTGCAAAGTAAGCAAAGATGAGTTTTCATAACCATGTCTGTGATATGGTAAGTCATTTATAAAATACAGATAAATTGGGGTGCCTGGGTGGTACAGTCAGTTAAGTGTCTAACTCTTGGTTTCAGCTCAGGTCATGATCTCAGGGTCATGAGATCAAGCCCCATGTTGGGCTCCACACTCGGGGCAGAGTCTGCTTGAGATTCTCTCTCCTTCTCCTTCTTACCCTCCCACTCATGCTCACTCTCTCTCTAAAATAAATAAATCTTTAAAAAATACAGATAAATAGAAAATGCCATATTAAAAGTACAGAATAGTATCTTCATGTTTTCATTAAGATATATATATATTTCACATTTTTGAAATTCTTGATGAATACACCACAATGTTATCTTGTCCATGTACCCTTTGAAGTTGGTTTCTTAGGGAAGTAATGATTGCCTCCTAAAGAGAGTAAAGTCTCCTATATAAAGGCATAAGTAGATAACCTGGTAAACTCAATATCATCACATAATGTGTTTATATGTCATAAATTACTAACTTGTGTATATTCAATATAAACCCTTCAAATGTTAACACATAGCAGTGCTTTCTATTTCCCAACATTTTCTCTGTTCCAACCACAGTGGATTTCACTGTCCTGGGCACACATCATGTTATTCCTGTCTCTATTCTTTACTCACATTTTTCACTCCTTGGGATACACTCTCTCCTTCTTGTTGTGTATCCAAATCTTACCCACACTTTGAACACCATCTCAAGATTTAATACCACCATGAAAACTGAAAGTACACCAGCCAACAAGCTAATTCAACGTAGCTCTCTGTGCTCCATTATATTAAATTGTTTTCATATTATTTTACATGTGTAAATCTTGTTCTCTCAGAATCCTCTCCCTACGCTGAAGAAATAAACTTTAGAGTAAAGAATGAGTAGCACCTGTGTGGCTCAGTCAGTTAAGCATCTGACTCTTGGTTTTGGCTCAAGTCATGATCTCAGGGTCATGAGATGGAGCCCCCTCATCGGGCTCCATGCTCAGTACAGAGTCTGCTTAAGATTCTTTCCCTCTCCCTCTTCCCCTCCCCCAATCTCGCTCTCTAAAATAAATAAATAAATAAATAAATAAATAAATAAATAAATAATAAAATTTTTTAAAAATAATGAGTTATATATTTTTTAGTCTCCAAAACATTTATTTAGGGAATTAAAAATGCATAAAATTAAATGAAATAACTTTCAGGAACAATATTTCATTCCATTTAGGCCATGAAATTTTTAAGAAAAAAGTTGTTTGGAAATTTGTCACATCATTTGAGGGTGAATTAATAGCAGAATGTCAAGTTTGCTAAACCAAAATTTTAAGGGAATGAAAAACTTCAAAATATACAACATTCACAATAAACATATTCAGCCCAAACATAATGAGGTATATAGAGAATATGAAGAAAATAAAGGGTTAGAGTGACTGCCCAAACTTCTAAACAAGATTTTACAAGAATTCTTTAGGAAAGAATTCCTTTTAGATTTGTGTTAATGACACTAAAAATTGAGACAAAAATCTGGTTGAAATAATTGTTAGATTACATTTTTAGTAGTTGAACTCAGAAGGTATATGAAATTTGCAAAAACTGTGAATCCCAAGCAAAAATTCTTTTTAGAAACATGTTTCTAAAAAACTTTTCCATGAATTATAATCTGCAGGGCACAAAACAGTAAGTGATATTATTAAACATGCCACTTCCGCATCTTGTACATCAGACATTTGGACAGAAATATTTTTAAGTATGACAGCAGAGTAAATTGATGAATTTAACGGTTTCTAATTTACTTGTGTACTTTGCTGGGTCTCACAGCAAACAATACAATGTATCTGATTGGAAAAATACTAGGACCAAAAGTCCTTTTTTTTTTTTTTTAAAGATTTTATTTATTTATTTGAGAGAGAGAGAAGGAGAGAGAACACATGAGAGGGGATAGGGTCAGAGGGCAAAGCAGACTCCCTGCTGAGCAGGGAGCCTGATGCGGGACTCGATCCAGGGACTCCAGGATCATGCCCTGAGCCAAAGGCAGTCGCTTAACCAACTGAGCCACCCAGGCGCCCCCAAAAAGTCCATTTTTAACAAGCGCTATAGAACTGTCGTTGACAAAGGAACAAACACAATAAAGGTCATGAGTAAGTCAGAAATTGCAAGCATGTTCTATTAGTTGTGTGCATAGAAAGTAAACATAGCTAAACATAATTCAGAGAATACCTGGCTCTAAGTGGGGATATAGTAGGCTGGCAGATCATCCTTCAGCCAAAGACAAATTTTATGGCATATAAGAGAGTTTAGAACTATTTTATCAGGATATTCAAGCAAAACATGATAGCACTCAAACATGTTAAAAAGGCTGACTGAACACATGAAAATAGTTTATTTGCAAAAAGCTGCTAAAGAAATCACCATGTATGCCAAGAGTGCAAGTATTTTTTACATGATACCTGCTGTAAAGATCCTATCGTTCTACTCCAGAAAAGATGTTAAATTATTGTGCATGTGATATAAGCTTAGATGCAGATGAAAATTCAGAAGTAATTTTGTTATCTGGAAAACCAAACACATTGCTCCACTGTCACATTTTAAACCCAAGGTTTAAAAGTGACAGATTTTTCTTAAGTGATAGTATAAAATAGAAAATAAAGAAAATATCAGAATGTTTTAGTTTGTGGGACTGTTTTTATAAATTATAACTACTGATCCAATCTTCAATCCAGAAACTGAAGAGGAGCGTGCTCTTTCAGTTACTATCAAAGAGAAAAGTTTAATAACTTACTGTAAGACCATCAGTGGTACCCTATCCTACAGCTAGGTAAAAACCTGTTTTTCTTCATCAGTCTTACTTGAGAGAAAACATCTATTTAGTACTGCAAAATGTAGTATAGTAACCACAAAAGCAAGTTAGGCACGGACTGAAGTTATTGTTTCTATGTTATAATAATATTGAAGGTGTAATAATAATTTATGATTTTAAACAAATCAAGATTTATTCTTATTTCTTAGAAGTTAATTCTATGATGAGAATACTTATCTTAGATCTTGACTGAATAGTGATTTTAACAACTGCCATTAAGCAGTTAACCAAAATGTGTATTTGCTGCATTCTAAACTCCACAGGAAAGCTATATTGAGAAAGTTTGTTTTCCTAGTAGCCAAATATTTCCAATATGAAAAGAAATTAAAATCAAGTTACAAATAAATAGCAATTTTAATAACAAAGATGAACATTTATCACTTTTGAGACTGGCAATAATTTCTAAATCATAATAATCCATACAAGGAAATGGATAAGGTTATGATAAGATGGCCATTCTCATATGATGCCGATACTTTTTAAAAGGCAATTTAATGGTCCATACTGAGTATCTGTATCAAATGTTATAGAGTTTGGAACCAGTAATTTCTAGGAGTCTACTCTACACATACCTCAGAGTTGTAGACAAAAATGTACAAGATTATTATGTTTGCATTATTTACAGAAGCAAAAATAAATGAACAAAAGAACAATGGTTAAATCTATGATGAAATATTAAGTGCCTATAAAAAATTATGTTTTGAAAAGTGTGTGCATATGTTTATATATAAAGGTTAGAATGACTTCATTAATAAATTAATCACATTACCTTTTGGTGATGGAATTGTGTTGTTTTTCCTATAGTTTATTTTTTAAAATTTAATTTTATCTTATTATGTTATGTTAGTCACCATACATCATTAGTTTTTTTTTATTATGTTATGTTAATCACCATATGTTACATCATTAGTTTTTGATGTAGTGTTCCATGATTCACTATTTGCATATAACACCCAGTGCTCCATTCAGTACATGCCCTCTTTAATACCCATCACCAGGCTAACCCATCCCCCACCCCCCTCCCCTCTAGAACCCTCAGTTTTCATTAGTTTTTGATGTAGTGATCCACGATTCATTGTTTTAATATAACTCCCAGTGCTCCATGCAGTACGTGCCCTCCTTAAT